TTTTTTTTTTTTTTTTTTTTTTTTTTTTTTTTTTTTTTTTTTTTTTTTTTTTTTTTTTTTTCCTCTCTTTCTCCCCCCCCCCCTTTTAATTTTTTTTTTTTTTATTTTTTTTTTTTTTTTTTTTTTTTTTTTTTTTTTTAAAAAAAAAAAAAAAAAAAAAAACATAAATTGATTGCTTGCAATAAAGTATTATGAAAGTAAAACTGTATATTGGGTTATTTATGCGAAATGAATTATGTTTTTATATAACGTAAACCATATCAACCATAAGATAAATAATTGTCCGATACTTCATGAAATGAAATGAGTAGAAATATGGCTGAACGATAAATTTGATATGAAATAATATAAACCCAAATTAATAAGAAAGGTTTAGTTGCTTAGGTTAATGGACTCTGAGTGTAGCTTGCAAGTTTGATTGTCTAATCTGCATTTACAAAAAGATTTAAGATAAGTAAATCAGAAATATAAATAAAACATATAACCAATAAATCATTACGAACCCCATGAAACTCGCGAATTATATTGTCAAAAGGGTATCCTGAGTTTTATTAATGAACGCTATTCTCCGTACATTAAATTAATAACAGCTTATAATTTTAAAAGTTTAATGTGTTAAGGTACGGTTTTAGCCAATCATTTATCAGTTTTACTTCTTTTATTTGTATTTTATAACCGCCAGTATATGAAGTGAAGTTAATACTCAAAATGTATGAAATAAATTAAACTAAAATGCATTAGGCGAATAAGTATTTTTAAAGTAATTATTAAGTTAAACTTAGTCTTGGAAATGTAATATTTTTTTGTGCCCACTGTAATTATCATGTATTTTAGAACATTACCTCTTATCTAAACTGTAGAACATTTTATAACATGTTGTCAGATTCAATGTGAGTCAGATTCAAATTATTTGTTTTAGTTAAACATAATTAAGTATAGTTATATCTACATTCAGAACTGTTAAGCGTTCTAGTCTTGGTGCAGGCGAATACAAGTAAGAAAGCTCTTTTTCCTTAGAAGTCATCATTATAGGAACAAAGTAGGTAACTATTTTATTTCCACGAAGGTCTAGAAAAGTCGCAAGCCTCACATAATAATTTGGGGAAGGTATTCTTTGTAGGTCAGACGTGTCCAGTTAATCTAGCCACTATGTTGATTTTATCTTTTCGTTTATTGCATTATCTGCAGGAATGCTGTCGGGTCCAGATTAGGAATTCATTATATCTAAGGTTGGAACTCTCTAGCTATTAAATTGTGTAACTCGGGTGGAGTTTTAGGATGTCAATAGTTAAATTGCGATCAAATCATGAGTAAATATAAATAGATATTTAAATGTTGAATTTATATTATGACGCTACTTTTGCCTTATTGGCTTCTGCTACGTTTAATTAATAATTTTTCTTTATCGATTGCGCTCACTAGTCGTACACAAACAACGTACAGGTTATAGCAAACTAACACAATGTCTATGAAAAATCTACCGGCACATATCAACAATATTTAACTTCCTTAATAATGCGAACAATGTTTCGTACGAAATATAATATAATTGACATAATTAAATGAAAAGGAGGGCAACTGGCGGCCTTATCGCAATCGAGCGATCTCTTCCAGGCAACCACTAAATATATTGTTGGCACACATATACATATATATTGGTAAGGTTTATTTCATAGTCTGTCGTATTATCATATATTTTTGAAGTACTTAATCTCCTTATCGGCGAGTGCCTTGTTTTTGTTAATTTATATTGTTAAGACTGTGATAATATATTTCTCTCATATTATACGTTATTCTATGTGGCTCTAAGATGGCGGCTAACTCGTTATATTTTTTCTCACTACACAAGCAAATGTTGATTAAGAAAAATTTGTTAAAAGCCGTGGTGTGAACGCATGATCTCGAAGTTTAAATTCGCTATGGTAACACTATACTTTTGTGTTATAAGATATAATCTGTATTACCCAACTAAATATTAATAGAAATAGTGTTGTCGCTATTTCGTAGTTATTAATAAGACGTCCTAAAATATTGCATCCACCGGATAGAGTTAGCGAATATATTAAGAATTAATTCTTGCAAATTCACTAATAGAAATGTTTCACTGTTAAAATGTCTCGAAATAGCTTAGATTTATAGTAACTGTTCACGATTTCACATATAGTATAGTCCGTTAGGCGAGTAGCCAACATCTTGTAAGAAATTAATATCTTATAAGAAGAATTTAGTATCAAATGTCCTACATTGTTGACTTTAAAAGCATAGTAGGATTTAAATTTTGTTTATTTTAATATAAACCTCAGACGGATTTAGTTATGTTTCTCAGAATCTGTTCAATGGTACCAATGCATTCGTCTCAAGGTCTTTTACGATCTATGAAATCTTATTTTACAAATAAATTTATATTCGATCAAGTATATATTTTACGAACTGTAACTTTTAGTGTACAAAAGCTTAAAGCTTCTTTCGTTCACGCTTCCAAGAGTTGACAAACATTATTTGAGCTTTTAATATGTGGACTCCTTATAAAAAAATTATAGAAGTGACATATCTCTTCTACTATTCCTGGTTTGTCTTTACGTCAGCTTAAATGGTCGATTATTGATAAACGTGTTATTGTTCGCCTATCGAACTAAATGCCAGCTGACACTAATATTATTGAGCAATTTAAATGCTGTATCTTGTAGTAATAGTAATTTCCTTTAAGCATAAGTAATATTCGTAATTGTATTGACATTCTAAGCCAAGTCAGAAATGCAGAAAATAAGTTTTGTTCAATACTGAATAATAAATATATTTGTTAAGATTAAAATACAGACTAAACTCGAACTCAGAGATTTAGTTTATATATTTAAATATTAATCAACAAAGTCCTATAAGATTTCCTTAATTAAGTGAATTTTAGCAACGTAATCCACCATTTTCTTTTAAGTGTACAAGGAAAGCTGATAGCTACTCCCTTAAACCAGATAATTGACAAAACCATAGTTATAAATTATTAGGAATGTAAGCAAAGACTATAAAGTAACTTATGAACACGTCTTTTATCAAAGGCCAGTAACATGAGCTGTTAATAATCAGTTGAATGAAAACAATATCATAGATCGTTTGTTAGCGCCGAATGATTTATTATTCCTATTAAAGTTTTATAGAATCCCATTCGTTAACCTTCGTGGGCGTGCGATCAATCGAAAATGATAAGCATCTGAGCTATAAAAAACATTGCAATTATATCATTTTTATAAACCGGATGGGTATAATATGTATTTTGAATAAAACTTTTTATAAAAGCCAGATTCATACCTAGACAAAACACAATAATAATACATGTCTATTTTGATATGCAGATGAGTTACCTATGTAAAATAGAAATTAAGATGTGTACATCGTTCTAATGTTTTCGTTTGAATTAAACCTTGTTTAAAGATAATGACAATTGACAAGTACAAACACTAAAGGTCCGTACTTTATGGCAGTATTCTGTTTGTTGGAATCACTTGAGTCAATCGTCAATATTTGAATCATCAGCACGTGTAGTGTTGATGATTTGACTTCTAATTCTTCTAAGTGTCATTTGTTTATGTCTATCACAATAAACACGAGTTTGATTCGGTACTTGTATAGATGATAAGATTTTCACTTAATTAAACAACGGGTTGAAGTAGGTACCCCCCCCTTTCCCCCACCCAAATATTAACAATCCTATTCTTAAAAAAATATTATTAATAGATAAATTAATGTTAATATTGAGGTTTTGAGTGAAAAAATAATATTCTAAACTGAAAATGTGTTACTTGTCGCTGAAAATAAGTTTGTGATAGTTATCGCAGCATCGTTCCAGAAATACACTCTTTATTCTTTAATTAAGTCGAATTACATTCGCAAATATTAACAAAATAGTGATAAAAAAGATAGCGTCATGTCGTTTACATTTTCACATGGCCTCACTTATCAGTTGTTAGATAATAGTGCGACAATTATGATATATCATATGTTATCAACATATACCGGTCACTGATCTCACAGATTTAAGAGGAATTATCGAAACTGATACGTGCTATCGTTGCAATATTATCTCGAAACATAATATGATTGTATCAATGCACTTTATCCTTCAATAAGCATGACTAGGTACACGTAACTGTCTAAAGTATTTAGTACTGAATTGTATTATTTGTGTTACACAACATTAAATACCATAAGTTCGACATGACTGTTCTAATAATGTTACTGGTTGCTAGCAAATTTAATTTGATTTTCTCAAAATGATAATAAATAACCTATAATAGTATAGTGACTGGCCTTTTTGGTGCGTTATAGAGTTGTATAGAGAGTATATGGGAAGACATGTTAAATTGTGTATGTCAAAGCCAAAGTCGAGTAATTTCGATATTTTAGGGAGTTTGAACTATTAAATTATTAGTATTAATTTTATTAAATCAAGTAACATTAAGTTTACAATTAAAATATAGAGTCCTTAATGTACACGAAAATAATGAATTAATAAAAATCTGTGTAATCCGGTAAAATAAATATATTTTTTTAATGCATGCGTTTTTACCTAGACTTTATATATAGATAACACTACACTACAATTATTTTAGATAATATTGTTTAAATGATTGGCGTAACTACAACATCTTGATAATTAATTGTAGCCTAGAATACAGTACTAAGGCAGGCATTACACGAGTGAAAGCTGCCTGTTACTATAAAATCCTTTTTTTTTTCCTTTGTTTTTTTTTTTTTTTTTTGTTTGAGGCCTTTTATAGCACTTTTAAATTACTAATTTTTAGAGTGTTACACACCAATAGCTATGTTTCCAATAGTTCTAGCACAAGTTAAAAGTTTTCTCCAAATCACATACACTTTTCACTACAAACGCGCGTATACAACCATATAATTAAAATAAAAAAACACAGGAGCTGCGTAATACGATGTTGACAGGTTGACGACGCGGCGAGTTTTTCCTGCTATAGATTAAAAATAATTTCTCTCACCTAAGGTCCAGCCTCAGTTGCCGTCCACCAAGTGTAAGGTTGTAATGCACCGCATGTGGTAGGTTATGGTCCAAGCCCTGAAGGTCGCGTCGTGCGCGAGGGTGCCCGTGCGCATGTGAGTGATCAAGGATATGGGAGACCAGCTCACCATCCTGGCTCACTTTTACCGGGGTCACCACCTCCACAGCTGATGTATCCAGGTGTTTGTGGGAGTAGATACCTGGAAAAAAATTTAAATTAGAGCTGGAGGTTTATGCTCTTGGTTTTAACGCCTATGGGTAACCATATAGTAGCTTGTAGTACAAACGAGATTTACATTTATTTTTTACTTCTTTGGGCGCGTTATGAAAAATTGATGAGAGTGAAATTTTACGATGCGCGCGCACCGTGACACAAAATTAACAGAATGAAGTTGCCCACGGAAGATGCTACGGCATTGGACATATATTAAAAACAACATTCGAATAATAATAGAATTTATGTTACACTTAATGTAAGAGAATAATAATAAATATTTATTTATTCAATTTTTCAAATGTAAACTGAACTTTATTGACTCCTTTTCCAGTCTTTGATTATTTAATTGTAATTAATTATTTGCATGCAATCAAAAACTATTTTTAATAATGCCAAAGAAGTATAACTTCTTACGCGCGTACATAAGTACACGCACCCTTTTTTTTATAAGTATGAATTGCTTTAAATATAAAATTTATTTTATATTAATCAAAAGAAATTTGTTTATGTAACTATAATTTGTATAATACGAAAAGTGCTTATTTAATAAAATTAAAATCACAAATGTATGTCACCTAATATTGTACATGACAGGGCTTTCCAAGAAAAGCGGATAACATAGAAAAATATGACACAGTAAGTGCTGATATTTGTCTAATGTTTAGTGAGTGATTGTGCAAGTGATCACTCCATCTATGTAATTTGATGCTTTTAGGCAATGTTGCATTTTATTTATATATGAAAGCAGAACGACAGGTTCTCTATATTGACTGTTTATTTTCTAATAGTAAACTCTTCGTAATTATCACTCAAGTTTTTGTAAAGCATTTAGGTAAATATTTTCGTATCAGATATATCAATAATTTATGTCTTAAAATAAAATTGAATCTTATTTTGTGTTAAATAATATTCCAAAATCTCAATTAAAATGGCAGTTATATTACTAAATTGAATATATATTACACAGACAAAAAAGTGTCTTTGTCACGTTATATAAAAAAACATTTTCGTTACTTGTTAATAGTCTGTAATTAAAAACTTCAATTAATATTAGTCACTGACGTACACGTACAAGTATAAAATTTATGTTTCACGTATCAACCGATGTATTTAATACTAAAGATGGCGTGTCTATCTAGTTTAATTGAAACACTTCCAACAATAATTAATTATAGTAATTTATAATTTAAATTACATGAAGTAATTATTATCTTTTGCAAGCAAAGTAACAGAGTATATTTAGAAAGTAAAGTACTTTTGCAGTCCATTAAAGCTTAGTAAATTTGCATAGAAAAAAAATAAACCTTGAAGAAGGTCAATCCTAGAAAAACTTATATTCTGCTATAAACAGTTAAAGGTTAAATTCTAGACCTTGATTTTATACACTATTTTAATAGGCCAATTAAGAAGTACATAAAATGGCATTGCGTTGGCTCATTATAAGCTAAATATGTTTTGCTACTCCAGTAATGTTTTTTCTGGTACATGCTCATTGTAATCTTCATAGACCTTTTTTGTGAAAATAAATAAAAGAATTTTCGTATTCGATACGAATAAAATTTTAAATATAATACAATTCGCTCTTAAACGTTATCGACTTTTATCAAATTTCCAAGTATAGGAATGAACCGAAATCCTGTTTAAAAGCGTTACTGCAATATGGGCCGGGAATAAGAAGTCTAACACGCTCCACAGAGTAAAAAGTGAATTAATTACGTATGTAGTGTAGTCAGGGGTTAATAAAACAATGAATGTCAACTTCGCAATCGTTATGAATACTAAGAGCGTTGTGAGGGTCAATGTCGAGGCTTGTATATTAGATCACTGTTAAGTTATGGATTTATTACGAAATTGATTTAACTTCAGTTAAATTTCACAAAGACTATCTTTTGACAGCGCCTTTTGTATGGGTGATATCCATATTTTTTTATCTTTTAATAATTTTATATTTGAACGGGTCGACAAATAGATAATCTCTCTTTAAATGAAATTTCTAAAAATCCATTTATTTTATCGTACGCCCGGATTTTGGCTCTTGCGAATCAGCGCAAACAAACAACAAAGTTGAAAATTGTTCTGTCTGTCAAAACAGAACAGGTAATATTTCATGTGTAAAACATAAATTTAGTGCATGTGTAGATATATGTAGGTGCCTTCAATACCTCTTATACCGAAACATACATTAACATCCATTTTGTAGTCTTTGAGTAAAAGATTTGCAAACATTCAACCATTTAACCAAATGCTAGTTCTAATATTAATAATAATCAATAGATTTTTGCAATATTGAAGGGCACATTTATATTTATTAAACGTAGCTTTGCCAATCACAAAAAAGAAGTCACAAATCCAAATTTTTAGAAACACATTATACACGTTAGCTGAAGGGCTGACCTGCCGTCGACACTGATCTCATATTACACAAAGAAAAGTATATAGAAAGTATTCGTATTTCGTCTCACGGTCTTTTAACCGTGACACAAAATACTTAAGGAATTTAGGCGCCAACCATTGTAACTGATACATCGGTATTCGTTCTGCTTCTTTTATCACAGATTCTTACAATTTCAAACTCGGCTGGACAATTTCCTAAGAAATAGGTGCGATTGTCTAGTCAGCACACGCGCTAGACACTCGACACTCGGTAACTAGCGAGAGATGGCCACACAGGTATCGACTTATATTGGCCTCGAACCAGTCTACAAAAAAAAAACGACAATCCAATAACTGTTTAAGCGATATTTATTTTATCCAATTACACGGTCGGTGCACGAAGTACCTTATGCTTTGCCAAATTACAAAAAAATAACAATGGAATTCTCTACAAAATTGTAGGTGTAACAAACTCATCTACCAAATGCAATGAACAATGCTTACTCATTTGGCATCTTGCTGTTTCTCAAAAAACAGTAAGAGGTTTTGGGGTAATGATAATATCTCTAAATCGTAATGAGATTAGCTTTGGGCGGCGTGGGCTGTTTAGCTTGGGCGTTTGCATCAATTATTGTCTATTACTTGGTGCCGCCCCCCGCCGACCGGGATCCAGTTTGGAGCGCTGGCCGTGGGTGGACATTTATAACAAAAACATAGACATGCGATATACATTTCACTTACAGCGATACAAACACGTTAATTATACTTGTTCCTACTGTGCGAATAGATACTGAGGATAAACTATGCATTTGATTAACGGATTTATGCTTAATTAAGACTTGTCCTTGATGTGACTTTCAGATTACGTTTTGATGTCCTTGGTTAGCTCATTATCTGTTATCACAGTTACACATTTGACAGATGATTTGACTGCTTGCATAGAGACAGACACATATTCTTTCACAGACATTAATTTTGTAGATTGATTGTTACTTACATTTCATCCCGTTATATCCAACCAAGACCAAATTGTCTTCATAAATTGTAATTTATCTAATGTAAACTCAGAATGACCTCTTACATACCGCTCCATCACAATTACCTCCCGACATGGAAAAATCTTATGACCGGACAAATGTAACACGAAAATATACTTGCTATAAATCCTTCGCCACAAAGATACCTACTACGTCTTCTAGAGATAAAAACAGTTACATCATGCACTGTATAATATAATCGGAGTAAGTAAACTAAGGAATTAAGTTTCGTGTGACAAGAACAAATTAATTTCCGGGCCACACGATATGGTGCGTAACTATTTGCTTTAGTACTTTGTTTTGATTGCGTTTAAGACTAGAACTTGTAATATATCTTTCACATTTTATGTATCAAAGCTAAATGGTTGTTTAAGATCAGTTTATGATCTTTGATGAATTTATCTTACAGAAATAAGTGCTAGAGTAAGATAAATTTGTATTAAACACTAACTCTAGGATAAGTATCGTATTATCTGTATCCGCGCGTGGCATATGACAACTGACAGCTTTACGTCACGCAGTACGTCACTGGCCAAGATTCACTTTTCTCCACAATATAGATAAGATTTGGTGAGCAAATATTGAGTTTATAAGATAAGAAATCCAGATCGTTATACTTTACACTTTCAAGATAAGTTCGGTCTATTATTATGTACTTAGTGCTCTTAGAACACCTAGCGCCAATTTCTCTAATTATTACAAAACTTTGAATAATTAAAAAATATTTTTAAGTTAATTTTAATCTTATTATATTAATGTCTATGAATCTTAGCATATCAACATATGTTTAAATTCTGTATATTATCTTATCTGTAAAAAACATTTACAGTTATTGATGCAGTGACAAAAACATTTTTACATTGACGACTTGCAAAGTTGAATGACCAAGCAATATTGTCGCTAATTCATTATATATTTGTTTTTCCACGGTCGATTACTGGGTTTATGCATTGTGTATGCTTGGCCCACTCCTATTCTATTTTTATGCATTATAGGTACTAAGAATAGACCGCATTGCTGCTGGGCGCGTAAATGAGCCTACATAACTGAGCAATCATTGGAGCTAATTCTGATATTCTCTAAACTAGACTAAAATTTAATTCGTTTCAGTAGTAATTAATTTTAAAATAAATAATAAAACTTTTGATTACTTAGTGGAGATATTATTCTTTTAATTTCTACCTAATTTCTGCAGTTTTAGCAAGCATCGTACATCGTTCTTAGTAATTTATATTCCACTATTGCCAAATGGTATTTATTTGCTACAGCTTTAATATATTATTAAAATTGTATACATATATAAATATTTATCTCATAAATTAGGATTTTATTCAAATAATTATCATTTTTAATCTGTATTTACCATGAGTTCTCGAAAATGTAAATACAAATTTAAATACTGCTAAAATAAATTAAAATATATTGCAACAACATGATTACAACAGTTTAATAATAAAATGATTAAACGTACGCTGTTATTAATTCCTGAAAAAGACTAAAGAGTGTAATGACAGACATTTCTGTATTTAATTATTACATAATTAATTTAAAACTCGCAAAACGAATGCGGAAAAATTAATCGTAGCAACAAAAAGTTAAGTTATTTATTATACTTTTAATTATAAAGACCGTTGCAGAAGGCATAAAACACTTTTTTATTTTAGTTGCCAGTTTTAGGAAAAAACATATTGATACTGTCTTGATTAATTATGTGGGTTAAGCACCTTATAATCTTTCAATGAACTCTTGTATAGGTGTCACGAATATCAGGTTAGGTCTAATTATTTTAAGGGCTTTGATTACGAGAATATTATCATTATTATTATAGTATTATTTTATATCTTTATATTTGGTCTTAGGAAATATGACCGTGTGTCTAAATGCCGCAGAGAGCTCTGTTGGCTATTCGACTTAGACGTGACGCTCATCTCCTTCAACTTCTATACTCAATTCTTTTCAATTCCAAAACTCCCTCTTATCTAAAAATTAATTCACATTCTCAAGTACTTATGACTATATGTTACGCTCCTCTAATAGATGCTTTTTGAAAATTCTATCTCACACCTCATCCTTTTTAGGCAATTCGTTAAACATCTCCGCCATTAAGTTGTAGAATACATTGCCCGACTCCAAACGATTGGCTTAATTCTTCTACATAAACAATTTTTATCCATATCCTATCCTGCTCAATCCTGACTTTTGTAATTCTTGTATGTATTTCTTATTCTTTCGTAATTAATGAATCTGTGAGATTAGAATTTAGTTTTTAGTTTATTTTTTTTGTAGTATTTTAGATTAAGTTTGGTAATTCTATAATTTTTCAGTGTTCAGTGTAGTTTTGTTTTTGATTTGGATATGCACTTCTTGCACTTTACCTTTAATATATTTTATTTTTTATTTTTTCTTTACTGCCTGGAATAGATCGCTTGTTAGCGATAAGTCGAAGAAGTATAAATAAATAGATAAAATAAATAAATATTACCCTAAGTGTTACCTTAGCATCCCAACTGGGCATAGAGCACCATCTAAGCGCGTCGTTGATTATATTCAAGGCAATAAAAATATCTAAGACTCGAATAAAGGAATATCTTCTTCATTAATATCTATTTGTATAAATAATCAATTTCTATTCAAGTCACGAATAAAAGACAAACTGTCAGTCTAATATTATTTATTTACTTATTGTTATTGTAGCATTAAGATCCTATATGCGTTTAACGTCATTACTTACGCCGGGTTTAATGCAAATTTCCTTTTTTATATATTAAATTGGCCGAGTAAAGAATTAAATATACTTTTAGAGCAGTATGGGCCTAGTGGCTTCAGCGTGCTACTCTCATCCCTTAGGTCGGACAGTGTGACAGCTGTGCTCCAATAGAGTTTCTATGTGCGCATTTAACACTTAACTTAACTTAACTCGCTCGTACGGTGAAGGAAATACGACGGCGTGTGTCAGACACAGAAGGCTGATCACCTACTTGCCTATTGGAAAAAGAACAACTGATCACGCAACAGATACAGAATACAGAACCTGAGACTCAGAGTTTAAATGGTTGTCGCGTTTTTATTAGCTTTAATTTGATTTTAATATACTGCGTTCGATAATAATAAATAATTATTAAAATATTAATTTATTAATATTGAATGAAGTTAGAAAACTTTGTGATGAATGTATAAGAAAGTTACACCTCAAATTGTGACCTCTGTGATTTTTTATTGATCAGTAGGTATTTTAGAAACGCGATACCATATGGTATAAGAAATATGATCTGGAGGTCTGGAAGGCTGACCTTCAAGTATTTACTCTATAACGAATAAACTCAAGAAATAAGAACCCGGTAATACAACCCGTGCAATTTTATTAAACACTTCATTGAATTTATCTTAAACATACTTCAAGTAATTTTATTATTACCGAATTTATATGCATATAATCGTTTATATTCATGAATATAATTATGATAAATAAATTGCTCAATTTGGTTGAACGTATGTATTGTAAAGATTTTAACAAAACACTGATGAAATTTGTTAAATTGTCATATTTTTCGTGTTTTACAGCCTCCATGTTAGACTATTCTACATATATGTACATAAACATTATCTTTTAATAATTAATATATAATAATTAGTATATAATGATCACGTGACCATGCGTGAGGTACACGATACACCTGACCCTAAACATCCAGTCTAGGGCCCATCCATGATCACGAAGGACTTTAATATAAGAATCTAATTCGTTATATTAGCACTGTAATTTATTACCACGATCCGAAATATAGTGTTCGGTATTAAATTTTAATTTTGAGGCGGTATGCCGTCCACTCCCAAATACACGACCGAGATAATCCTTCAAAGGCAATCTTGGGCCGTCACACGAGACTCGAATCCAATTATCAGCATTTCAATCCTTGTGACAACCACAAAACGACTAAGATTAGATTTTACGAGTCCGTAAATTTAACATAACTTGTCTTCTGAAGCGTCAGTCTTAATTGCTAACGGTTTTTAATTTTAACCCCCGACAGAAGATCTTTGACGTGTGCTTATCTTTGACCGACTAGTCCATGGATACCCATTTGGTTAATGCATGCGTTGCCGGCTTTTGAAAGAGACGTACGCTGTTTTTAAAGGTAGCTGTTTGGAAGACCTCTGGGAGTAATCTTATAATTCTACAGTAATAATAACACTGTAACTATTTATATTGGTAGATTTGTGCATCTGTTTCATTGATTAACTTCTTATATAGGCAATTTTTAAAATAATTAGATGATCAGCCTTCTGTGGCTGAAAATGTCGTCTATTTTTCGGTCTAAAGTCAGCTACTATGTTAAGTAGGATAACCAAGCTGCATAGCAAGCAACTCAGGGTTTTGATTCGTTTGAATTCTCGTAAATTATATTGCTGTAAGGAAAATAGTGTCTTGATTGTGTTGAACTGAATTATTTTTGGGTATACTTTATATACATTTTAGGTTATACATATATCATATACCCGTTAGGAAAGGTCCAGCGCGCGAGGTCCGTTCTGTGTGTCGACTTGAATTTATTAATTTTCCGCGCGTTAGTTTTCATTTTACATTAAAATTATGCATAAACCCTTATTGAATTTCATAAACAACAATCACATTTTATGGAAGTTAATAAAAGAGGAGAGGAGGATAGATTGACTGCGTTACGAACTGTCATCAATAACAATGTACAACGTTATAAAAAGGTCAGAACGTTAAGTTAACATTCAAATTATAGCAAGAAAACATTAATAGCTATTTTGTTAAGTTTAGAAATAAAATTCACCAACGAAGTAATATTTAAAAAATGGATTTTGGATATTCTAAATTTAAAATTATCGTACGCTACTTACCGGAGTGTATGAGGTTTCTTATGCCATCCTGAATACTGTCTTCTACGTCACCCACGACTTGTGCTCTCAGCATGTCTTCGGGTACGTTTTTCGCCGTACAACAGACTATTAACACTTGGAAAAGTAAAAGCTTGAATAATGATCGTCGTATATCCATCTTTCTGAGTACACAGTCACTAGTACGCATCTTTATGTACCAATGCTGCCTTTAAACGCTACGAATTTGGCATATCGCCTTACTTCTATAATTGTCTATGGGCAGCGCGCTTTCTCGTGCTTCCGATACAAAACTAATATTGATTTTGCACTGTTCTTCTTATAGACTATCATCATAAAGTACCTGAAAAAAAGAACAAGAGTTAAAACTTTTGCCACTTGCATTGCACACTCACGGAAATATTGCTAAATATACCTAATATTAAATAAAAATATTTATTTTATTATATATACACTTTCACTTTTGTACAAAAAACTAAATATCCTATCTTGTAAGAAAAATTAACGCAACACGTTATTCACACAGCGAGGTAATTCACTATCTCTCGAGTGATACATATGTTATATAATTCTTCGTTATTAGGTAGATAACATTATCTCCTATGCCCACTCAACGTTAAAATTATAAAGTAAATACAGAATTAGTCCACCTCTTACATGATGTAACTTCATCCTTATCATTTATCACGAAGTGACATTCGAAAATCTCTTTGGTGCGCCGGTAATGTTCTATAGAGGTCTCGTGCCAAATCGGGCTGACTGACAAGCATGTCTTACCATAAACTATAAGCGATTTATTACCAAAGGTTTTCGATGTTTTACATAACTGTAATTTAAACTTTTACCTGTTGACGCAACATGTTGGTCTCTAAGAAAAAATACGTGTCTAGGAGTGAGGGACAGAAGGGCGGGGCACGTGCCGTGATAAGCAGGCGCCAGGCAGTGTGGCTCCGATAGTTTTTTGTTTCATTTCGGAGCCGGGTGGCGCCATGACAGATTGTTAGCGTTCCAGTGATTTTATGGGTCCAGTGTCATTAATTTTACGATAGTATAATTTTCCTGCTCATAATGTGCTGCGATATGCGCATTGACTTTTACTTTGATTGCCTTATAATTGCTGCTTTATGAGCTTACAGGGTTGGGTTTTAAGATCGTTTGTACACTTATACGAAAGATACTTTATTTGTAAAAATGTTTTATAAACCTTGTACATACCCTAAATATATAAATATAAGAATAAACTAAAAGTAAAATAATAAAATAATAAAATAATCAATATAAACTTGCTATAATCAGACTATGCCATCAATGCAACATCTAGTAAAAAATCAAATTCGAACATCTGTGTTTTGCTTGGTTGACTGATCAAGTTTATTATGTCTACCCACATTTTTGGTGCTGTTCTGTTTTGTAATTTTATATATGTACTTACCTACATCTGTGCGCTCTAATTTCTAATTTTTAATCTTAGTTTTAAATATGTGTTTCTCAGTAAGTGAATTTTGTATGCAATTCTTATGAGAAATAAAGTTATTATTAAACCTAAGTATTTTGAAGAGTAAGTCAAAGTCAAATTTATAAGCTATAAAACTGGTCAAAACTTTTAAGTATCAAGTAGACTATATCAGTTATACAGTAGAACCTCGATAACGTAAACCTCGGTAACATAAAAACCTCTGTTACTTCAAAAAATACTATGTTCCCTTCCCATCAGAGCCGAAAACCTCTATAACTTAAAATACGCAACCTCTATAACTTAAATAAATAATCTCTGTATAGGCCCTCAGTAACTAAAAAAAATGTTTCCACAACCTCTATAACATAAAATTGTTTGTGAATGAGTCATTTTGAAAGAGTGTCAAAACAAATGGTTTCGGTATTTATTGCTTGCACGTGTTTATTAATGTATTGTTAGCGTAAACAATACATTACCTATTGTTTGCTTTATCTAAATTCTTCAAAGCTTTACGGCGGTTAGCTTTGTGACAACGACTTACTTGCATCATAAGTTAATGTATTCTCCTCTCTACTTGTCATTGAAAATCAAATCGATTTAGAAACAGTGAATTTTTTAAAACAAAAGAAAATCACAGATTTTTTTAAGTAGACTAAACCTTTAGGTGTTGTTTTATTTTTATGTAATGTAAGTAATGTGAATAAATATGATTACATATTTAATTTTCCATCCTTCTGATGCATTCAAGTAAAAATGGGAGCAAGGGTACATAGAAACATGTACATACCTCTATATTAACCTTTACCTAACATAGAACCTTGATAACTTAAAACCTCTATAACATAAAATATTTTGTGTTTCCCTTGGACTTTATCTTATCGAGGTTCTACTGTATTATATTATAGCTATATTCATAGTCCTATAAAATTGTTGCCATGTGCCAACAACAATTAAACATCTTGTGTAAACTTTCATTCATTACACAACCACACACTTGAATAAATATACCTAATTAACTATTCTATTGAATTCAGTAGATTAATTGTAACGCAAGCGTAAAATTTATATTGTTGCACGCTATCTTTACAACTTTTTCCAAGTAAAACAAATTATATACAGCATGTTCTAAAAGATCCAAAAATGAAAAAATAATAGTATAAACCTACTTAACATCGTCAGGTCAGGCTATATAGATAGTAAACTGTGGCACAGTTTTAGGATCTGAATTAACACTATTTATTTATAAATTATAGTGGTATTATTGGTGTACTGCAATGAATTAATAAATCTGTAATAAATGGTGATGAAAGATTTAAAGTGAATTTGATGCAAGTTTCTCGTAAATTCATTTTGATCTCTTAAATACTAACTACTCCTTAATATCTCTTAGTCAGAATAGCAACTTAGCGGTGAGTAAGATTACCGTGTGTGTGAATTTGGATACGTTTTTCGAGAGACGGGTGTCAGTGATGTTTATTTGTTTCTAAGTGTACAGCTACTTGTGCAAATCTTGCCCGCAACGCCAAAACCGAATACTTACACACTTACGTTACGTACGCTAAATAAAATTATATTTCTATATAATTAGATACATATGGACCGTATACATATATACCGTGCTGTCACATACTATACATAATTCGTTATCTTTAAGTGTGTACATCCTAATCTTAGCGCTGACCTGGTTAGTGTCTAGACTAATAATGACGTTTATCCTAGACGCCAAACTCTTCCCAACGAATTAAACAATAGATAAAAGAGATTTATCGTTAGATAATTGAGGCCATCATACAAGATAATTTTTTGTGTTCCTAGGCTTAGATTATAAAATTATAGTATTATATTTAGTGTACGAAGAATCGTTGTAAATATATCATAATTTTTAGTGATCGCTAGAATTTGTTCATTATGCCACGATCAATAAATTCAAAGCCCTTGTTAAATTAATCAATAAAGATTTTTATAAATTTAACGAATATTTAAATAATCCTAATCGTTGGGATTGATTTGCTCCAGTTCAAACAATTTGTATGACGCAAATTTAGCGATTAAAGAGTGCCGCTCTACGCACATGACTTGCGAACTGGTAGTAAATGTAAATTTACAATTAATTTAATTTCTTTTAAGACGTTCATAAGTGTACTTATTTACCTATATGAATAAAGTTATTTTGAGTTTGAATATCTCTTTATAAATACTTATAAATAAAACGGGTTTTACAAGGAATTAAGAATCCTTTAATTAAAATTAAATGTAGTTTTAGAAATATAATATCATATTACACCAACCCTATCCTTATGAGAAACATACAAAAAGCATAAATCTTGGCGCCACTGAACTTAGCTAAAAGGAGGTTGCGCCTTGGATGGAATAGCACGATCTCACCCATTCGGTCTACCCATAAGGCAAACGCAACTTTTTACTTAATGCCTTGAATACGTGTACTAAAACAATGAAAGCAGCAAAAAGACCACTTAATCCATAATAAGAAACAGTAAATTATATCCCATTATGGATTTCGCGTTGACGTAAAATTGGTGTGTTGTAAAATATTTAACTGCGGCTTTTTTGTTGTATTAATCTTCACTGAAGTGACGTCCCGATTTCGATGTCATCATACTTAATGTATGATTTTGGAAGGTATTTGTCAGTCGGACACATCATTCGCCTCGTCCATCACGATGGTTAGTCCTGGCTCATTGCGTGCGGTCGGTATCCTGTGTGTCTAGAAGATACAAGGATTTTTCTGTGTCGCCATGTCGTTGTGGGGAATTTCTGGCGCGTGATACATCCCAGAACACACCAGTGACACTGTTGAGAGGTGTTTGCTCACTCCAAAAAGTAAATGAAAGGGAAGCTACTCAGGAGGCTCTGCGACCCACAATATCTCATCCATTTCTTATTGTTAAAAGTTTATTAAAATAAAATTAAAACAAATTTAAAAAGTCTGGTCCCTGTGGTAGTGTACCTTTAACGCAGGCAGCATTTCCTCGTTGTATTGCGATACTTATTCGTTGAGCGAGGAAAGCACCAGCTCTGGGATCACCGGTACTATCAGGCGCCAACTTAAATCTTTAATTAGCGCCTGTGCGCATGAACCCCATGGCCCAAGAGCCTCTACTTAATATGCCCATAGTTTATTTGGCTTTTGAATTTCGATTTACAATATTAGTAATTGTAGATTATAAAAACATAATGCTCTAAATGATTTCTTTTTGGCCTGTCAAGTAAACAGTAACACAACTCAAAAGAGTATCTTTTCCATGTGGAACGACTATATTTATTTTCATAATCCGAGTCAGGCAGGTACCATTATTCTATTTCCTATTACTTCTACAAAGCTAATCATTTCTTGGACCTTTACTTAACTACTATAATAACTTTCTTAGAATTTAAGATCGTATGGTAGTTAACTAATTATAGTGTTTAAGAGATACTTGTATCTAGTTTAAACTTAGAATTATGAATTTGCAAAACACTAAGCCATCTATGAGTATTTTAGAACATTTAAGCAATAAATTCTATTTCGATGAATAATTTTATAATTTGAATGTTAAATTAAATAACATCAATAAATTATAAAATATTAACGATTTTAAATGTCAAATTAAGCTCATAAGGTATCCCAGAACCATACCTTTAGTTTTGATGTACATATTTTAATTAAAAAAATCAAAACGATGCAATTTTTTCGGTTCCTAATA